GTGGCAGTAGTGGTAGTGGTGGTAGTGGTGGTAGTGGTAGTAGTGGTAGTAGTGGTAGTAGTGGTAGTAGTGGTAGTAGTGGTAGTAGTGGTGGTGGTGGTAGTAGCAGTAGTAATAATAATACTAGTAATACTAGTAGTAGTGGGGCCCAGGTGGCGCCTAAGCAGAAGCAACGCTACAGCGTGTCCAGCCATGAGAGACTTTGCTTTGAGTCCAGTCATAATCAGGATGAGGGCTCTGAGGACCTGGAGTGCTTGATGGAGGATGTTGAATACCAAGGGGTCTCGGCGGCGGCTGACGGTGACGAGGGGAATGCAAGGCCATGCACGATTGGAGGCATCTACATGGTAGGCTCCAACCCACCCGATGTAAATAAGAGATGGCCACAAGGTGTTGCCACGGAGCAGGCCGAAGAGGTTCAATGTTGGAGCGTGGAATTTTGGGAACATGGCGGGGATCTTGAGAAACTCTGAGCAATACCCGTGGGTAATTGCTCTCCCTTGCTCAGGATTCCAGGGCGGCCAGATCTTCGTTCAGTACCAGCAATGTCTGGCTGCCTTTATGGTCTCAGGACCCGTGGGCCGCAATCAATGCTTTCACCGCACAAGCTGCATGCAACATTGCCGTGGGAAGGCACTCGACTTTTGCTGTTGTATTTTCACATTGGACAATGTTGGACAATATGTCAATATGCTAACTTAAAGCTGGGGGCAATACAAACTCTGAGTCACCGTGGTTTTCGACTCACCAGCCTCCTGAGTGATGTGGAGATGCCACTGTGGGAGGATACAAAGTGTCGTATGTCTTCCAGCCAAGGAACAATGCCTGTGTGGATCATTTCATTTCATTCGATGATTTTGCTGCTTGGCTCCCTAAGGTCATGTCTTCACTGGTTTGGCCTGAGCCTGATCTTTGGCATGATCAACTATGCTTTCCTCGACTGCCAATGCCTGGTACAATGGCATTGTCCTGAGGCTGGAGTGTGAGGTGCACCAGCCTGTGTGACTGACTCTTATGTGAGCCACTGCAGTCGTGGCCTATTGTTCAGTCAGGCATTGCTCACCGTGTCTTTGTAGGAACATGCGTACAGTTGCGCATGAAGGATTTCGCTGAGTAGTCGAATATCGATTGCTCCGACTTTGCTCATCATCAGCTCTTTGTGATTCTTGGCGGCGCCGTCAGAGTGAGACTGCTGAAGCTTCGGCTCGGGTCGCTCGAGCATGCAGGGTCCTCGGACCGATGTTGGTGCTCTGATGGTTTTTATTCGGATTGTTTAAGACAGTGCTGCTCTGTAGCCGAGCAAAGCTCGCCGACTCGCTAGGCGGACCCCTGGACGTTCGCCGCGAATGGATGGATGGATGGATGGATGGATGGATGGAAGGAAGGAAGGAAGGAAGGAAGGAAGGAAGGAAGGAAGGAAGGAAGGAAGTAGTAGTGGTTGTGGAAATAGTAGCAGTCGTCGTTGTCGTCGTCATACTTTTTGTCGTATTCGGGGCCGCAGTCGCAGTAACAGCCTAGCCGTAGCAGCAATAGCTACTTGTCTCAATAGCGATGCCAGTGATGCCACTTGGCACCACGACCAGGTCCACGTCTTGGCTGCCAGGCCTCTTGGCTGTCTTCCTTCCATGACTGGCGCTTCCCCATGGGCCGTTTGAGAGCCCAGTACTCTTGCTGGCCCCACGAATGGTGGCTCACTAACCGGTGCCGTCGTTTGCAACCCGGGTTCATGCCCTGGCGCACCAAAAGTCTGGTGCGTGACGTGACGCGGCCACGTCTCCCGTGCCGCGCAAGGGATGATGCAGCCTTTGCTCTGACGTTCGGCTGAGGGCGAAGCACCTAAAGGTGCTGGGGCAATCAGCTTTGCTTCGCCTGTGGAGTCCTTCTGAGCCCCTAAAAAGAAAAAACATATATATATATATATATGTATGTATGTATGTATGTATGTATGTGTGTGTGTGTAATCTTGACGCATAGCATAGTATACCTGTCGACCGGGCTACAGCAACCACACAGCCGGGAAGGCCCAGCAGTGCAGATCGACACGGAATTCCCTTCACCTTCGGGGCTAAAACACCCAAGGCCGAGGAGACTCTCAGGGGTCTTCTCAGTCTCCGAGGACCAAGCCGACAGTGTAGGGGCACCCCTTGCCGTAGCAGCTATGACCTGGTCAGCACGGCTATCAAATTCTCGGAGGCAGCACCGTGGATGTGCCGGGTTGAAGCGGGCTTGGCTAAGCAATCAATCTATTGAGGCTGTGGCGCTCAGCCTCATTTCCTCCCCGTCGACATTTGGCCTCTCGGTCTCTGGTACCTGCAGTCCCGGTCATCCCCAATAACTGACACGCCGTTCAAGAGCAAGGGGAAACGTGCTTGACAGACACACAAGGAAGCAACTTTGCAATCGGGTTCGTGCCAGCTGCGTCAGCTCTACGGACAGCAAGGACAACGCTTGCAAGACTTCCTCCTGGTCAGCACCAGGAGCCAAAGAAAAATCGCGCCTCGGACTGGACTCCACATAGCGCGAAGAAGTGCCTTCTGCAACCGTCAGCGACGTTCAACAAGTGCGAGCTTCAGAGGGGCTAAAGCCCTGCAGTGCCCTTGAAGCCAGGGAAATATAGACTTAGCAATTTGCCCGTCCGGCAGCGACGACAGACTTGATGCAAACAGTAGTCAAACAATTGTTGCATGTAGCACATCAGCTCATTCAAGCATTTCTTGGGGTCTATATGATCGAATGAAAAAGGACGCCCCGGGCGAAGGTCAGCATTGCGAGACCGAAAGCGGGCGAGAGGGAACGGAGAACTCAATACACAGCAGTATCTTGTATCCTAACAGTGGGACCGCTGGGGCCAGGGTGGAACCAGGGTATGCCCCACTCTCTTCAACACCACTCTCTCTCTCTCACTCCCGCCACGCTGCCACAACCGTTTGGGCCTCATGTGCATCAGGTGCAATTGTTTCCCAGGCAACGGAGGAGTAATCGACGAGTCGAATCGATCATGAAGTGGAAACAACTGAGCGAAAATCGGGAATGTGCAGTTCAAGAGCGGCTGTCTATGCACGTGTTCGTGCGGCAGCGGGCACCATTTTGAAATCAGCGGTCCTCGCAGCATGGCACGTTCTCCTGTCTGTGTCACTTGACACGCCCTGCTAGCCTGATGTGCGACTCTTTGCGAAGGTCAAAAGACAGGCTGGCTGTTGAAGACAAGGCAGGTACCCGAATGAACGGTTTACAGGTGACAGATCTTCAAGAATAGCATGCAGTCACGGGGCTACAGCTGTAATCTAGTTCGCAAGCTCTGCAGCCCCCGAGCCTGAGGCTCGACGAACCCATGCCCTGCTGACCTGGAGCTCGCAACATATCCAAAAGAAACTGCAACCTCAAGCAACGACAGGCCCGCTGATGTCAACTCTCGAGGCCGCTGCTGACGAGAACCTTGGAAAAAACATTTCAACCCAAGTTGCAATGCTGCAGCTTTCACCGCAGACAAGGCATGGAAGAACTCGCAGCCAGTTCGATGCATCACGTTGCTGCTCTCTGCAGTAGTGCTACTTTGATTTAAACCTCACGTTCAGCACCAGCTACGAGGGCGTGCCTGAAGCAGATGAACGGCATCTTCTGCCACACTTGCTGGTGTCTTTGAGCATGGCAGAATCCTCTGTCAAAGCCAGAGCAAGTCAACTCACACGACTCAGTGACAGCAACTTCCAAGCTGTGAGGGCTGCGAAACACTGAGATGAAGGCCGTTGCATGAGAAGATTCCCCAGCACCTGCTATGAAAACGAGTGACTTGACGAGGCCGTTTTTGTCAGAAAGGCCTGCGATAGCAGAGCACCGGCATTGTCTTCAGGCCTCAGCTCCATGGTGGGCACAGCAGATGTCAGCAGTGAAAAGTGCAGGCGAATCACCGCGCTGGGAGCGCCTCACCAAGGACCTCTCGGCTGTGTTCTTAGTGTTCTTGACTTTGCAGCCACCGCTTTGGAGAAAGCGTTCACAACGAACCTAAAGTTGCCAGCTTTTCTACCTTCATGTCTCTTCAGAACTTGAGCTTCTCTCGCTCGCAATCGGCTGTACACTCTGTGCTGCCATCCTGGAAATAAATTCGGTAGAAGCTGGCCTTTGAGAAGCAAGTAATCAACGCATCCCAATATCTTTTGGCTGCCTTGGCTTGGGAAGCAAACCAGCACAATCGTCACCATGGTCTGCACTCTCAGCAATGCCTACAGACACCATGCAAACTGTAGTCAAAATACCATTTCCTTCCGACCGGGAGTCATATTGAACATGTTATGCTACACCTGCGTGCACTTGCAATTGCTGCCCATCGCGGACAAATTCTACCAACAAATCCGAATGTCCCGCACAAATCCAGCTTGAAGCCCCAGAGAGACTTCACTTGTTCCTATCAAGCTGAGAGGCATCAGGTTCTAGCTCACAACGCGCAACACCTGCCAGGCTGTCTTCCACCTTGGCCATTGGCTTCACATGTCATATCATGCAATTCATGTATGCCTGTGCAAAGACACCCCGCGTGACAGCACCACCCAGGTCTTAGGACCCATAGACACTCTAGACTCTAGACCTCCTGGACTCGTAGTCTAGCTGTAGCCGAGGGCCAAGCCAAGTAGAACAAAGCCTCGCCAGAATCCGCGACAGTGCAACAAGCAACTCTCGTTTGTGCAGCCTCCAGTGCCAGTTTCCAAAGACCACACCGGCGAACAGCCTTGCGCCCTGTCATTCGTGTGCTCGCGGAATTCATGCTTCGAGTGACTGAGCTTCGCGAAGCTTGGCTGGGAGCCTTTACCGCAAGCCAGATCTGTGAGTACCTGCAAGAGCCACGCTGGTGTTTGTGCGGCTGCGCACGAACTATCCGCTGCGCACTTCGAGGAGGCGTGGAACAATCGCTCCAAGGAAGTGCTCGAGATGCCTACCCGGGCCGGTTGCCAAAAGCACGCATGCTCTCAGCAGTCTTGGTCGTCCTGGGCTGTGAGGACCAAGTTCTGCTTGCAAGAAACTCTCGGGGCTCTGTACACAGCTCTTTCCATCTGTACAAAAGCACCGTTTCTTGCTGTGCAGCCTGTACAACACAGTGCAGCATTTATTGGTTGGTTAGCATTTTGTGCAGTCAAGGCTGCATTCAAGCTCAGGTGGCTTCAGCCACACACTGACTTGCAATCTTTTCCTGCAAGTTCCACAATGCTTCTGGCGGCAGTTGCTGCACCCTCCTCTTTCAATACCTGACGAGCATGCTCGAGTCCAAACGCTCTGGGGACAGGACCCGCTATGCCAGCCTCATCACGCCAGTGCTGCAACGTCGCATCGGGCACCGCCAGACCCTCTCGCACTGAAGCCGCCACCTTGCAAAATGTGAGCTTCAGGGAGACTTTGGGAGCTGGCTGCCCTGCACCTGCTCGATGGCTGCATCGCTTCGAAGCGTTGCCTTCCGCAACTTGCAAGTGTAGCCATACAGCTCCTTCGTAGCGACGGCACACTCGAGCTTGGAAGTTCTCCCATTTGATGCTAGGTCGGGTGGCTCAGGAGTTGGGAATGAAAGACGTGATCGGAGCTTGTGTCGACATCTCAGTTTATGCAGAAACGCACTGGCTGGAGTATGGCTGAGTGATAGCCAAGCTAGCAACAAGCAAGTTGCAGGTCGGAACGGTTACAAGAGCACCGGGCAATCTGCAACTCCTCCAGGCGGCTTGCAATGTAGAACCTAGGCTTTTTTTGGCTTGGGCTATGTCAATCTGCGACTACAACACCTCAAGCATGCGAAAGTACATAGCCGGTTTCGCCCAGCATCTGATCATCGAAGAACGGAAGTGGAACCACAGGAACACCGCACGCCAGTGCTTCGTGCGTGGAATTCGCACCACCATGCGACCTCAGCTGTGCCGTTTTCGCATAGCCTGACAAACCGGAGAATCGGCTCAGGAAAATCAACCCAAAGAATCCAAAGGAAAACTTCTGGAAAAGTTGATTGTAGCTGGCAGCGAAGTGACACGAAACACCGCACCAAAGGATGGCTCAAGACCGCCCACTGCGGCAGGTACGTTGAACAGCGAAGTCTTCCACAAGATACCGCCTTCAGCAGCGTCGGACTCAACTGTCTCGCAGTCTCCTTCAACACGGCCAGCACACGGGGTGAGGCCAACAAACAGCCCTGCAGCAGCCTCTCCTCAGCATTCTCACACACGCCTGCGAGAGTGGTCTGGCTTCCCAACGCTACAACTGTGACGGTCCGAACGTCCGATTCCGCTGCACCATCAAGCCAGTTCTGCAGCTCAACATCGCAAACATCAGCATCCTCGCGGCTTGGGAGAAAAGCTCCAAAGCGTCGACGACCTCCTGAATCTACAGCTTTCCCCACCAAGCAGTTTGCGATAATGTAGGAGACTGCCTCCGGCGGAAATTGCTGAAAGCTGTCAATGTCTTCTGCTCGGTTCCTCACGATGCACTGGTTGTCAAAGTCCCAAACAGCATCGTGACAGTAGGCTGCTCTGAACGGTTCCCGGTAGGACGGCATCAAACCGAACGCTTTCTTCCTGCCAGGCCACTGGTAGACTACTCGGGATGTGGCTGAAGTATATTCACTAATCGCATGGGAGCGGGAAGGGACACCACGGAAGACTATCTTACGACAAACTGTGCCAAGTCTCCCATGAGCAATTGCCAAATCATGTGACCACTTGCCCCAAACTGCTTCGAAGACCACACACTGTACATCCGCCTGCGCCAGTCGATCTTCGAAAGCCGTCACGCCAAGGGCCGACACCGGATTCATTTCACCGAAACCTTCCCCTTCGCCTCGGAGAAGCACGTTTATGAACCGCCGTGGCCACGTACACAACCCTAAGTCCTAAGTTGATTGACGCCGAGGGTATCTGAGTTGCTCGAGGGTACCATCGGCCCGTGGCATGCCATTATGTGCTTGAATGCAGCGCCATCATCGAGGAACAGGGCTTTCTGCCCGTCTGCATCCGTATCGCCGGAGCTGACACAAGACTTGTACGCAGCTGTGATGGCAGGCAGGTTGCAACGCCCCAGATCCTGCAGGTGGAGTTATACGGAGAGTTGATTGAAGCCATGGGCTGTTGCCCTGCACTGTGTACTTGCGCTCTAGCTCCAGGAACCTCTTTCTTACTTCTTCTTGGAACGCGTTTTGAGTGGGTTGATCAAGCTTCCGTCTTGAGATGTTGTTTTGTGCATCAGTAACGAAAGTAAGTTCTGTGAGGACTTGGCTTCGATTTTAGGTTTGCTATGGTTTGTTGGCTTCGAAGGCGTGGACCCCTATGCTCAATGAAAAATCGAACTTTTCAGGTTGATAAGGGGGGACGGCCCACCGCTTGATTGTTAAATTGTTTTTTGCAAACACCAGGCAGGCGCCGTAGAATTTAATCATTATGTTCGGTCATGGTCGGTCCCGATCACTTCAACAACATCATTGGCTCCGCTCCAAAATTGTATTTTTCGGTCCCCACCACGCCAAAATGACTATTTCCGGCCACGATCAATGCAAGATGACTGAGCACCTAGGTCTACCCTCAATTCACTTTCCCGATCACTCTTTTGCCTGCTGCATGTGACTACTATTCTGGCCACCCATCACTGAATCACTATTTCGCCCGCTGCAGATCACTATTTGTCATCACCGGTCCAGGGCTATATCCTGCTACCTGTGCATGTGAGGTTCTGTCCGTCGCAGCACGGATTCCAGCTCAGCATTAACATCGACGGTTCAAAAGGCGAGTTGGAGGATGCTGCTGTGGCCGATGACACAAAGATACACCAAGCTCCTTCCGACTCCCAGCTTCGGTGTGACGGTTAACTACAAGTAGCCAAAGGACTACAGGAGTTGTGGAATCGTGCCCTTGCTCAACTCTCTCTGATTCTCTGATGTGCCGAGTATGTGTTGTTGCTCCTGTCAGACACTCTAACAACAATCGCATCAGCATTTCAACAGAAGCACAGGTGCCGGTACTGTGATACAGATGATTACGGTTGCATACGGTTGCCGACCTACTCACGCAAGAGATCACCTGCCGCATCTTGCCGTGCTCCTAAGCGCGCGTGTGTGCTGCATGCGTGTTCACGCCTCAGGTGCAGCCAAGTCTCCAACCGAACTTCGTGAAATACACCGGGCTTTACCCACTCTGCACAGTTGGAATTTGTCCACAACTCGCACGTCTGCCCGCACTTGGACAATGCCCGTGCCAGCGGAATGCAGAAGTTAAAATGCCCACGATCTGCGTGAAAGACAAAAAGCACGCGAGACATGTAATGAAGGTGCCGCGAGGTTCACAAGTATTTAAAAGTAGCGATGCTTTGGACCCACTGCTGCATTGACAAGAGCTTTGGCGAATGTGTTGGTGTGGCCCACCAGGCTGAATGCCCGCATATGCCCACACAGGTGCCTTGATGCCTGGAGGCTGATCCTGAGAACGACAAAGGTTGCCCGAGATTGCAAGTCTTGACAGCAATTGCAGCTTGTAAGGGCGAAGCTCTTTCTCACCTTGCCGACAGGCTCAACACATGTCTACTCATTACTCGACGCTGCTGCACAACTTCCAGGATGCAGGGCGGGGCGAGGAGCTATGATTAGCCACCACGTCTGCTGCACTGCTGCACGAATCTCCGTATGAACTCCGGACATGCAGACGGCGAAGCGACAAACGCAGATAAACTGAGGAGTCGCAGGACCCTCATCCTGGACCCTGGACTACCAAGGTCCCGCAGGGCCTGAGAGCTTCAGGAGCTGGTGCAGCAAAGTCCTCCGGCCTAAGGTTTCGGGGAAGGTCACATGGAAATCTGGCATTCCAATGCAGCCTGTTGATGCCTTGACGTTCATATCCAGTTAAATCCCACTGGGGCTTCCAGCAGAAAACGATAAGCACGCAAAGGCTGCGAACCGCAAGCGCCAGCCTCTGAGAAGGCAGGGTCGTGTGCAGATATGCTGATATTCAGTCACGAAGCATCATCTGCTCTGATACTGGACTGGCCCTGCCTGTTGGAGTCAACACAGATATGCCGAAGGTCCAAGAAAACAACGCACATCTGGCACAGGAATAATGCCTGCGGTCAGAAGAAATCAATTTGGCGAAACCCTCCCTCCTTTCTACAAGTACCAGATGTGCAAATAAACGACATGACTGTCAGCACCAAGTAATTGTGGTCCAAAGTCTCACTTGCTGTGTAACTTGCTGGAAATCTGTACGCTGCCTCAAGGTAACCGTCCTCGAACGAGGGTATCTCCTGTGCAAGACTTTCACGTTGCGCTGCGGTGCGAAGCGCACAAGGGCCGTCGAGGACCTCCAACAAGCTGAAGGCGGTCCCTTGGACGTGCTGCAACCGGGCCTTCAAGAGTGCGCGGTGAGACACGCTATTTCTGCCACGAAGCACATGGCGCAGACGGCAATGCGGTAAGAGATCTGCCGAACAAGTGTGGAGCATTGTCCGATGCGTCGGTGTTCTACTTGGACCTTGCCAGCAAGATGAGTGTCAAGCCAAAAGCCAACCCTCTCCCACAAATAAGTTATGATCCTGTCTAGCAACCTTTTCCTATGGCCAACATGTGCTTCGGCAGTCTCCCCACTATCGTGGATGAGCAGCAGGAAGCAAGCCCAGCAAGCACAAATAAGCAGCTTTTCAATTGCGTTTGGCCGCACGTCGGCCCATGGCCAGTCACTGTCCACCAGCATGCACACCTCATCAAGCAGCGCCACTGCCTGCAACTCGTGCGCCATGGTATCAGGGCTTTGCACTGGAAGCTGCTCCGTTGATGAGTTGCATCTCTCTCTCCCACTAGAATTGCTGTGACGTTCCTCGTTCGGGTGATGGACATGTGGATGCCGGTCTCAACCCAGCCTGTCCCTTTGCCAGTATCTTCTGACAAACCTTCGCTGCAGCGCGCCGCTTGGCAAGAAGTACTTGTTAATTGCAAGACAAGGACCGAAACCGCCGCAGTGTATGTGATCAGGTCCGGCTTCGCTCCCTGCAGCTCGTTCATTTCCTCGCACGGCATTTCTGGAAGAAATGCGAAAGCTGCAGCGACTGCCAGGGCATGCCAGGGCTATAGTGTGAAAGGCAGCCCTGCCCTACATGCCCTACAAATGACTACTGAGCACTGCCCAGAAACTTTGCAGGGTCCGAGTCTCTTTCAGCAGACTGAGTGATCGTTGCCACTGCCAGGAGGCCTTGAAGGCCTGGGCCCACTGCACTGTTGGCACTGCACTGTGGCAGAGTTTTTGTGCGTTGGGGTCCCACCGCATTCCAGAATTTCTTCATTACTGCTCCTTTGCGCTGCTTCTCTACTTGACCCTCCACATTCATGCGATCTACCAAAAAGTTGTATTGTCCACCACGCAACGCTGCGAGTTCAATGCCCTGGTTTCCGTTAGTCAAGTACTTACGGGATCCACGCATTTGCATTTCGCAGAACCTGTCCTGAACATACGCCGACGACACCCGAGCCCACTGTTGAACACCGTTGGCTGCAGCGATCTCCATCGGGGTATGTGCAACACTTCTGTCTTGTTCTTCGTCCTCCCATTTTCACATCGTTTGCTGTTCCCACCGTCGGGACTCTTGCTGCCACGACACCTTCTGTGCAGCATTGTGCGACAGTGCATCGGGCAAAAGGCGCTTGAGCTTCATGTCCTGTGAAAATGGCTGAGGTGATTGGCGAGTGCGTCAAACTAATTACGTCAATACTGACGTCCTGCAACAGGCAAGCAGCCATCTGCCAGTTCGCCCCAGCCTCGCAAGCTGTGATGGCCTTCAGTCTGTTCTAGGCTCGAGTCATTGCGCAAATGCGAGGAATAATAAGCACAGCAAGCTGAGTCGAGGACAGAATTGAAACTGACAACGTCTGGACTGGACATAGCGTACAGGATCCTGTACGCTGGGTGCAAATTTGTCATGTCGGAACCCTTGTCAGGCAACCAGCCGGTTGCCTGACAACGACACTTCCTGAGGCAGCGGCACGGCGGCTTGGGCCCACTGCCCCACTGCGGCGCACGCGGCTATAGCAGCGTTGTTGGCAATAACCTTCGCAGAACTGAAGCATGCCAACCTTGACTCACAGAAGCGCGCCCCTTGAGGGATTCGCGATCGGCCCTTGCAGGCAGCCACGGACGGGATCCCTCCTGCAGCACCTCTGACTGCACAAACACGATTGTCCCGTTTCCCCGCTCATTCTTCGGTATCGTTCGGCGATGACTGCTCGTCGACTTCAGGTTTCAATGCTTTCAACCTTCACAGGCCTAAGGCCTAAGTGCTCTTCTCGAGTTGCAGCCCGGATATCGGATTTGTTCCCACATTCCTGCTGCGATGATTGGAGGTACGGAGGAACCTGATCTTTTGCATCCGAAAAACACTAAGCTCCACCACAGAAGCCTGCAAGCCCTTCCTGCTCCTTTTCGCACTTCTGTTGTGAGTTACCACGGCCAGGTGCCGGTCCTACGAAGGCAACAAGTCCCCGCTCGAATCCAGGTGTTGCCAATGTCAGGTCCTGAGATAAAAAATCTTTGTACCTCACCTGGAATCGCCAAGCAACATTTGGAGTGATCTGCCTCCCATTCATCTCCTTGGAAGCGAAATTCTTGCTAGACTAATATGACTGGAGAAAATAACTTTTCGATGCGGCACCTCGAGCACGGCCAACCTTACATGCAAGACCAACCCAAACGAAATAGCTCAAAGCAATGAATGCGTCTGGCAGCTGACCTCGCTCGCACGTTCATCAGGCCGAATGTTCCTGGCTCCTTCTTACTTCAAGTAGCCCGGCCGATGGCTTAGCGCCTCTGTTGGATAGGCTTCTGCTTGTGAGTGGTGCCTTGTGATTTGGGCGGGCGCCGTGACCACGTCAAAGGCCATACATGCACCTGGGGTGTGTTTGTGTGTGTGTCATCGGATGTCAGTGGCCAGCTTTGCGGTTACAGGCGCTTCATCCACTCAACATCATTTATGCGTGTGACACCCTCCTTGCATTCTGCTCAAACATCCCACGGTTCTGTCACAATAATCGGCATCTCAGCCAAGGTACGCAAAAGCCCATTGCTCGTCTGCCTGCAGGACTTCCCACAAGAATGGTACAGTGCTGTTCGCTGACAAAGCGAGTCGAAGGTGTGGTCTGCCTCGCAGGCACTGATGATGGCGCTGAAGGTAATGATGTCAGCTTCCACCTCCTAGGATAGAGCGGCTCGCTCAATCTGCGTCCAGCTTTTTTCAGCTTTAGCCCAGGGGCTGCTTCTGACATTTGCCTCAACACTTCCACGGCCTGCTCCCACTCCTTGCAGGATGCTTCAGTCGGTGCCATTCTAAATTGAAAGCCGACAGATGCAGCTCTCGGTAATAATGTTCCGGGTAAAGACCGCAACCCTTGCCTCACGAGATCCGGAATTACGTGTATGCATGGCGGTTTCGCGGTGGAATTTCCCGGTCCCTGTCTGCGGGCATCGGTACAGCTTTTGCTCTCGGCCTTGAACCGACCCAAGCTTGCAAACGTCAGAAATCCGAAGCCGCAGAAACTCCTGCTTTGGATCTGCACCATCATCTCAATCCTCATCACAACACGAATTCAGTGACAATCACCAGGTTTCGCAATCATCGCCATTATCATCATGACATTATAAGCCTCACCATGATCACCATTATCATAGTCATATTCAAAGTCCGTTTTCATCACCCTCAAGCGCACACTCACCGTATTCCTGACCAGAATGTTGAAATTTCCATGAAGCGACACCATAATTCTGATCATAGTCTTTATCTGTATCTCGATGATATCACCAGAGTCACACGCCAAATCTTCAGCTCATGGTCACCATCAGAATCACAATAACCTTGCCATTTTTGGAGCACTCTAAACATCATGATGATGATGATGATCATCATCATTGAGATTATTTATGCTGTAAAGAGTACTGATGTTGCTGTTTCTTGTCCGTATCCTGCCCCCAGCAAGTGCAATACAACCTGATCCCAGAACCGGAGTGGAGGGTGTTTTTGGGAAAAGGTTTGGCGGGGTATGGTTTGGGTTCGCCTCTGCGTCAAGCTGTTGTTCTGCTTTTCAGGGTTTGTTTGTGCGTCAAGCTATTGAGAGATTCAAGTTTTCAGGGGTTATTTACAAGCTATTGGGGGATTCTACTTTCAGGGTTTAGCTGTGCGTGAAGTCATTAAGGGGACTCTACTTTCAAAGGTTTGCCTGTGCGTCAAGCTATTGGGGGATGTTGCTGCTGCTGGTGCTGGTGCTTGTCGTGCTGCTGCTGTTGCTGCTGCTTGGCCGCTGCTGCTGTTGGTGCTGGTGCTCATATATCCTAAACATGCCCCCCTATTTGGCAATTCTGGCTCAACATACATCCTAAACACGCCCCCCTCATGTGGCGATTCCGTATCATCATATATCTGGAACACGCCCCCTCATTTAGCGATTCCGGTTCAACATATCTTAAACACTCCCTCTCATTTGGCGATTCACGCCCCATCATGTGGCGATTCCGGTTCACCATATATCTTAAGCTGCCCTGTCATTTATATACTCGCGAAGGATAACCTCGAATTTCCGATAATTTCATCAGCGGGGGTTTGCGGGGGCGCAACAAACACAATGATCGCATGATGCGTTGCAAAACAAGAAACTCATATACTTTGAAGCAAGCTTGCGCTGCTTAAAACAGCCGGGGGGTCGGGGGCTGCAGCCACCCCCATTGCAAACAGGATGCTCGCATGATCGGATTGAAAAAAACACTCACATGCTTTGAAGCAAGCTTGCGCGGCTGAAACTAGCGGAGGAGTTGGGGGAGCCGCCCTCCCATTTGCAAACAAAATGATCACATTATGGGTTGCAAAAAGACTCATATGCTTTGAAGAAAGGCTTGCACGGCTCGAAAAGCACGGGGGTTGGGGGGGGCGCACTTTCAAACACAATGCTCGCATGATGCGCTTCAAAAACAATCATATGCTTTAAGGCGACCTTGCACGGCTTAAACACAGGCGAGTCCGGATCATCATATATCTTAAACACGCCCCCTCATTTGGCGATTCCGGTTTCATCATATATCTGAAACACGCCCCCACATGTGACCCCTCATTTGGCGATTCCGGTTCATCATATATCTTAAACGCGTCCCTCATTTGGCGATTCCGGGCTCATCATATATCTTAAACACGCGCTCTCGTTTGGCGATTCCGATCATCATACATCCTAAATGCGCCCTCTCATTTGGCTACATAAAACCAAGTGAAATTTAGAAAACAAAAAACACAAACAAACGACTAACACAAAGCCCATGGAAACCAATTTGCAATTCCGGCTCATCATAACCCAGAGGACAAAGCGACGAGAGGACCAGAGGACCAGAAGACCAAGAGGACTAGGGCATCAGGGGACCAGAAGACTACAGGATGTTGGGTTCTCGTTTAGGTTCTTAACGCGAGGGCGCGAGGAATTCAGGACGTGCGGGGCGTGTCTGCTGCGGGCGGGCCGGGCCGGGCTACCGGCGTGTCTTCTGCGGGCGGGCCGGGCTACGGGCGAGGCACGAGGGTTCTGGGCTTTTCCTGTTGCGACGTGCTAACAGG